TGTTCTTGAGTGGCCTTCACACCGCCCACAATACGCCCGCCAACAGCCCGGGCCACCTCGATGCTCAACGGGTGACCAATGGTAGCGCACCGATAGGTGTCCGTTAGACATAGCACAAGTAGTGCGGCCAAAATAGTTTTACTGTACATACTGTTGGTATATTAATTAAAACTGTTTTAACCTATGTGCTTAATTGAGAATATTTGCTAGTATTTATACTAAATTAGCCTGTAGAGTTTTTTAAGTAATTTTTATGAATTTATTAGTTTATGTTAGTTATCAGATATCCTGTTTGGGATATTTCTAAAATATAATACTAAAATAATACAGGTCTATTTTTATTATATCAATTAATTAAAGTTACTAGTGATATTGAAATTTCCTGCAATATTTAGCGTGATCATTTGTTACTATGATTCTCATAAGTTCGTAAACTACTAAATAATGTAGCTTTAATTAATACTAATACTTCTCTTTTTAATTTAACATTTATTTGAACTTACAAGTTGTTAAGTATTTTAACACATTCTACAAAACTTAAGTTGAACTTTGTAATTAAAATTTTTATAAATAAATTGTATAACCATATTCATAAATAAAGCTGGTCACTCTAGTTTACAATTTTATTTATTTAATTCCTACTACAATTAATGTATCTTAATAAGTGTAATATACGTTAGATAGACAAATAAGTGCAATAACTGTCACACTATTAAGGACAATTTTTATAATAGTAATTTTGAGCCTAAATTTCAGACTACTTTTTTTAATAAGTATAATTGTTTTAATTAGTATAAACTTTATATTTTATATAACCTTTCTAGGATGTTGTTTATTATGTTTGCAATATAAACAAATATTTAAATATTTTACCATCTACAATTTTAAAAGACCATCCATTGTCAGAATAATTAATTGTTAAAGTTGATTTTTACTATGTTTTTTTTCCCAAACAACTCGCTTGTATAATAGACTGATTTTAATTGTCATTAAATTAGAATGTAGGGATAAATTATTTAATTTTGAGGTACATGCTACTGTAAACAAATTATTTAGCATTGTAATAATTTTAATATTGATTTGGCAATAATAATATAGAAATTTAAACAAGATAATAATTTTTTTTAAAATTAATCTTAAGTACTACAGTTATTTAACCACAAAAACTTTTTATATAACTGTATTTAAACTAAACTATATAATTAAATAATTTATTCTAATTGTAAATAAATATCAAAATAAATTGTTTATTAATTTTTAATAAATAGTAACTTAAATGATTGTTTATTGCAATTTAGATAACAGCCATTGTTTGCCGGTATAGACATTGGCGTAAGCGGCGGGATATTGGGTAGTGTCCGACGGGCAGCCGTCAACTCCCCATGATACAATACCGGCCAATTTACCACCAACAATTAATGGGCCCCCAGAATCACCCTATTAAATAAATAACACATTAATTATCACACTAAAAAACATTATAAACAACAAAACTGTCATAAAGTTTTATAACACGCCTTATAAATATAATATAGTATTAAAAATGTCGCTTACATTGCAACCGGTGGACGATTTGTGCTTGGTACAAATATTCATCTCGGTCACTTCGACGCCATAGGGAGCGTATATACGCTTGCATTCGGCCGACGACACGATCTGAAACACCTGGTACTGGAGGGCGTCGGGCCCGGAGTCGGTGCCGCCCACGACATCACCCCAACCGGTCAGCTCGGCGTCGACCCCATCGGCCGGTTCGCTGTCCACCAACTCAATGGTCTCCACCCGACCGGCGCTGGTCTTGATGTCGGCACCCAATACAAGTACACTGTAGTCGTTGTTGTACAGTATGGGTGTATTGTACGCCTCGTGTTGCCTAACCTCCACCACTGTTATCTCGTTGTCCAAATTTTTCACATTCAAACCCCCGTATTTGACAATCATTGTGTCCTTGGTGAATCTAAAAAATGATCAATTTAGCATAATTAATTAATTTAATAATAAAATAAATTAAAATATAACAATAATGTACTAACTGTTCGGTACAGTGCGCGGCAGTGATGGCAAACCGGGTGCCATACAGTGAACACCCGCATACATGGGTTACACCAAACCAGCCCGTAATGTGTAACGAGCACTGGTGTTTGCCCTGCGCCTGCGTGGCCGGCACTCCGCCCACAATACGGCCGCCAACCCCTTGATGAACATTGATCTCTACCCGTTGGCCAACGGTAGCGCACCGGTGAATGTCCGCCAAACATAACACCAGTAGTACATGTGCTAACACAGGTATAATCTTACTGTACATATTGTATTGTGTGTATATTAAATATATGACTTAAATAAATATTTTAAATTAATATTATATTGTATTTATACGAATAGTTTTATTGTTTTATAATTAAGAAAATAATTAAATATTTACAACCAATTGTTAAATTTATTGCAATGTACCTTACGGTACATCCTGTTTGATATTGCAAAATGTATCTGAACATGTTTTATTATATTTTTAAATAATTCATACAACTTTATTGTGTTAGTAATAAAGTTAGTTTATTAAATATTTTATTTACAAAAATATAATAATCATTATTTTATTTTAATCAACAAAGTGTTACATAATTTGTATGATTTATTAATCAGTGAATTAACTGATGATGCTGTGAATATTAATAAATTAAACGAAAGAGCTGTGCTTGCTGCAAAATATAACAAGAATAATTTAATAATAAATGTTAAATCAATAAAAATGCAACTATACAAGGCAGTAACAAATGCTAAAGCTAATAAACCCCATACGGTTAGAAAGTATTTTGACCAATAAGTAGTGTTGTATTCATTGATCTCTTTAAAAATATTACTTATTGTGTAAATTAATTTTTGTGTTCGTTTTAAATTATTTCTAGTTTTATGTAAGAATAATAATTCATTATTAATACATTTTATTTTTATTATAATATAATACGATAGTAGATAAAAGTAAACGAGTTTCCAAAATAAATGAGTTAATGCATAATATGTGAGCACGGTCAGAATTATAGAATTTGGAATACCACAGATAAGTGCGGGCAATAATTCTTGATACATTATATATGGTATTAAACAAAACGGGAATGAAAATAGACATGTGTATTTGCATAACAATTTAGTGATTGTAAATAGTTTTTTAGATTTTTTCACAAATTTATACACAGATTGCGGGTCAGAGAGACCGACACTATAGGGGGTAACCATACCTGACATCATAGCAAACACCCGGAGAAATGTCAATGTTAAATCAATAAAAATGCAACTATACAAGGCAGTAACAAATGCTAAAGCTAATAAACCCCATACGGTTAGAAAGTATTTTGACCAATAAGTAGTGTTGTATTCATTGATCTCTTTAAAAATGTTACTTATTGTATAAATTAATTTTTGTGTTCGTTTTAAATTATTTTTAGTTTTATGTAAGAATAATAATTTATTATTAATACATTTTATTTTTATTATAATATAATACGATAGTAAATAAAAGTAAACGAGTTTCCAAAATAAATGAGTTAATGCATAATATGTGAGCACGGTCAGAATTATAGAATTTGGAATACCATAGATAAGTGCGGGCAATAATTCATGATACTTGATATATGGTATTAAACAAAACGGGAATGAAAATAGACATGTGTATTTGCATAACAATTTAGTGATTGTAAATAGTTTTTTAGATTTTTTTACAAATATATACACAGATTGCGGGTCAGAGAGACCGACACTATAG